TGCCTAACTTATCAATCTTATCATCAAAGGTTTAAATGTTCATAGATGTTTCTAATGTGGCTTCTTTATGTCTTTTTTTTAAAAAATTTTAAACAGCACCGTTTGGCTGCTTTGCTGTTTGTGAGCCTGGGCTCCTTTGGGAGGGAAGGCGTGGGGAAAATTCCCCTTGGGTTTTCGAGTACGGAGACTCACACCAAGTTCCCAGAAGGCCAGGCTTTATTCAGCAATGCATTGCAGGACAGAGTCCAAGGAGCCTGAGAGAACCTTCCATCGCGACACAGGAAAAATAAACGTCACGCCGGCTGTTCGTCCTCACTATTGTCTTCATCCAACCGCAGTCCTTGAAAACATACACTCAGCCCATTTTCTTTCACTGAACATGCAGACACCTCCTCGTGCCTTATCTGGAGTTGTTCTTCACTCTAACAGTCAGCGTTCGATTCCTCCTAAACTGGTTCTTACTGGTTTTATATGGTCAGGCTGCCCTCTTGCATACGTGACGTCGACCTCGGCGATAATGGGTTTTCCATTCCACGTCAGTGGCCAGCAAAGAAATCCGGCAAGCAAGATGGTGGCGATGGTGTCCAGGTCACCAAAGATGACCCTAGTGTTCTGCCAGGTAGCTGACGTTTCAGGAGGAAACTTGGGTCCCAAGTTCTCAAAGTATTTAAAAAGCAACTCTCTTCAAACCTGTCCCCCCTTCGGCTGCTTTGTAGCATGAGGGAACTGAAGAAACAGCATTCGCTTGAGCACTTCAGAGAATCCACACCCTGCCTTTCTCAAGGCATTTGAAGTGCCCTGGAAGATCCTTGGCTCTTGTGCCTCACCTGCTTCTTTTTCTTCTTGCCCTTGTTCTTTGAAAGGCAGGAGCCGTTTGATCAACGAGTGGCCCAGATCAAGTCTTTTGCGACTTCAAAACACGGCTCTCATTTGTACCTTTCCCCGCCTCCTAACATCCAGCTGACTTCGTCCGGGAGAGTTTGGGCTCCGGAGGACAAATGAAACTTATTTAAATAGCTTTATATTAAAATAGTCCATCATAAGCATTAACATGCAACCCCTGTCCCTCAAAAAAAAGTCCACTAAAAAGAAAAAAAGGAAAAAAAAGAAATTAGCACAAGGGAATTAAATATTTATATCAAATACAACTCTTATATATCTCTCTGGAGATAGGGGGCGGGCGGGAATCTTGTTGGAAAATAAAATTTAAAAGAATGGGTGGGAGTGATAATTTTTTTTTCAAAAGGGGGGGGGGAGGCTTGTTCTTCTCTCCTGCAATTGATTGCGGACTAAAATATCCATTTGGAAACGCCAAGCATCTGTTCGGTGGCAGCTGTAAGTAACATTACCCACACTCAAGACAATTTATATCTTTCCCTTTTATTAAAAAATAAACAGGCCCCTTTAAATTATTCACCAGCAAATTAAAACAGACACAAGCGCAGCCGCAGCGAGGGGGGTGGCTCAGGAACCCAAGAAAGGAAGAGAACCCAAAACTACCTCTGGAGGGGAGACAATCCAAGACCTCTTCCATTGGACTGAGCAGCCAGCAATTCATGCACTGACCCAACCAATTTTCAATAGAAGAGAAGCTCTGAAAGCTCAGACACTAAATCAAAAGCTGCATCTATAAATAATTAAAAAAACCACACACAGAGAGGTGCCAACTCTGCAAGTCTTTTCCTCTCTTCACAAAGCAGGCTGCGTGATCTCTGACTTTGGTTTTCATTGCACCTTTTCAACGGTTTTGGACCTTCCTCAACCTCTGCCCGTCTTGCTAGTTTCCCTATTCACCACAAGCAATGTCTGCTTGCTTTCTGAATGGGTTTCAAGTGTTTTATATAACTGTGCTTTGAATTCAGCTCAAGCGTCTAAATACAGAGATGCGTGAGTTTTCCTTCTAAAGAGAGTTGGACCTCAGTAGCACCCGCTGCCAAAGCACCGTCCTTTTAATGCCCTTTTAAAATGTGGGGAATTTTTTTGGGGGGTGGGGAAGGGTTATTGGGTTGTTTTTATTTGGGTTATGTATTTTGTATTTTTATACTGTCGTTTTGTCTTGTGAACTGCCCTGAGACCTGCGGGTATAGGGTGGCATACAAATGTTAACAACAGCAACAGCAGCAGCAGCAACAACAACAACAGACCCTCCTTCCTGGAAATTGCACAGCAATCCAGGGCGAAACAGCCTTCCCAGACCAACCTCAGTTACTTGGGAAGCCTGGCATGGGACTGTAGGCCTTATTCAAGGCTGAATAAAAATGAGGCATGGAATTGATTAAAGTGGATTGAGAGAGGTTTTCATCCTCCCTTGTGCTACTAGAACCTGGGGACTTCCAATGAAGCTGAATAGAGTGGTTCAGGACAGAGGCAAAATCTGTACCACACATCTAAAGCACTATTATACCACTCTAAACAGTTAAGGCTTCCCCCCAAAGCATCCTGGGAACCAAAGTTTGTCAATGGAGCTGAGAGTTGTTACCTATTCCACACACAGAGCTACAACTCTCAGAGTTCCTGGGGCAACTCAGTCAGCAGAGCATGAGACTATTAACCTAAGGATCTTGGGTTCGAGCCCCATGTAAAAGATTCCTGCACTGCCGAGGGTTGGGCTAGATGACTCTTGTGGTCCCTTCCAACTCTACAATTCCCGGGAAGAGGGCTTGATAGTTAAACCACTCTGGGAATGCTACCCCTGTGAGAGAAATAAAGGTCTCCTGGCAACTCTCTCAGGACCCTTAAAAAAAAACACAGTTCCCAGGATGCTTTGAGAGAAGCCATGAGGTGGTTTAACAGGGCTTTAAATTTATGGTGCAGATGTAGCCAGAAAAGAAAGAAGTAGTTATTCTTCTCACAGCACATGATCTATTGCATGGGTAGGCAAACTAAGGCCCGGGGACCGGATCCGGCCCAATCGCCTTCTAAATCCGGCCCGCGGACGGTCCAGGTTTTTACATGAGTAGAATGCATCCTTTTATTTAAAATGAATCTCTGGGTTATTTGTGGGGCCTGCTTGGTGTTTTTACATGCGGAGAATGTGTGCTTTTATTTAAAATGCATCTCTGGGTTATTTGTGAGGCCTAGGAATTCGTTCACCCCCCCCCCCCAAAAAAAAAAAAATATAGTCCGGACCCCCACAAGGTCTGAGGGACAGTGGACTGGCCCCCTGCTGAAAAGGTTTGCTGACCCCTGATAGACTTCACCTCCACAAGAGGCTTTCCTTGTCCTGGTTTAGCAGCCAGCCTCTTTTTAATGTCCTTCCATTAGTGCTGGCTTATTATTATTATTTATTGCATTTATACACTACTTTTATCTTCCAAGGACCTTGTGGTTGTGGTTCTCTTCCTCCCCATTCCATTCCAATCCTCACAACAAGCCCATGAAGTAGGTTAAGGCTAAGACACGACGACAGGCCCACGGTCACCCAGCGAGCTTCAAGGCTGAGTGGGGATTCGAACCCTGGTCTCCCGGGTCCTATTCCAACACTCTAACCATTACGCCATACTGGCTTCCAACGGAAGGCTCGTTTCTCAGAATTTCTGAGGAGAAGGAAACGCTCCGCTTTCACAGTGTGGTCTGATGGGTTTGGCCGCTGCACTCAATTCAAACGGAAACAAAAACACGCTTAGCCGCTAACAAAGCCGCAGATCGATGAAAGCTATTGTGTATATTTAAAAATGGGAAGCTGCCACGATGCTGTTATAACAATAAGGGCCGAGGAGGGAGGGGGGATAGTGTTAACAGCAGAGCCATCTGCTGTACTGCAGTGAAACTGCATTTCAAAAAACACAGGGTGGAAAGGAGAGGTGAACTTCGGAACTTATTTTTATTTAAGGAAAAATCAAAACAAAGATTTCGAGAACCCCGCAGTGTTAAATTAACCAGCAGCCCCACTCTAGTAGTTCTGTAGGAAAGAGTGCTAATTCTGCAGGGCTAACTGCCCACTTAACGGTTATTTTCTGAATTTGTTCCCTACCCTTCACCGTAAGGTCCGAGTGTGGGTTACAACAATATAAAAATACATTAAAACTAGTTTGAAAAATTAGGAACCGGAATAATAGGGTTGGTCCTGAATATCTATGGGTAGTGTTTAACCAAGAGTTATTCAAAGTAAACCCACTGAAATTAATGAACATGATGAAGTTAGGCTCATAAATTTTAATACGTCTACTCTGAGTAAAGCTAAGCTGAATACCACCCTTTATTTTAGGAGTCAAAGGGGAGGGTGGGGAGGTACATCATTGGGTCTGCCTGGGAACTGGGCCATGGTACCGGGTATCATGGATGTTCAAGCTTTTTGGTTCAAGTATTCCTGCAGTGTCCCCTAGTCCTGCTATGGTAGATCTGGCTGCTCTTCATATGGCCTCTCTTTCATCTTGCCTTGGCGCACTCTGCTCCACACAAGGCCTCCCACAATCTGGGCTGCAGTGGGCCTTGTTGCTAAAAAACAGCCGGTCAGAACAGCCATTTATTATATCATTCCCTCCAACATGGGACACGGGTGGCGCTGTGGGTTAAACCACAGAGCCTAGGACTTGCTGATCAGAAGGTTGGCGGTTCGAATCCCCGCAACGGGGTGAGCTCCTGTTGCTCGGTCCCAGCTCCTGCCAACCTAGCAGTTCGAAAGCATGTCAAAGTGCAAGTAGATAAATAGGTACTTCTCTGGTGGGAGGGTAAACGGTGTTTCCATGTGCTGCGCTGGTTCACCAGAAGCGGCTTAGTCATGCTGGCCACATGACCCGGAAGCTGTATGCCGGCTCCCTCGGTCAATAAAGCAAGATGAGCGCTGCAACCCCAGAGTCAGCCACGACTGGACCTAATGGTCAGAGGTCTATTTACCTTTACCCTCCAACATGTCCAGGCCAAAAACTGGGTGAGTCAAGTGACCTGCACGAGATCACAGTCCTGAGGGAAGTGCAGGTGATGCAGGGTTGGGGATAACAAGCAACTAGCAATTGTATTTATTAAATAATATAAATAAATAAATAAATAAAGGAAGTTACCTGCCATCATGGCTACAAGACTTGCTTTGTAGACATTAGTAAGCGATCCCAGCTCTCCTGTCCCCAAAATAGTTTTCATATGAGCTTCTCCACAGGCCTGACGACACTGACGTATTTCTTCGTAGAGACCTAGCGGAAAGGAATTGTTTTTGGTTAATAATAATAATAATAATTTTAAACTTATATCCTGACCATCTTGCTGGGTTTCCCCAGTCACACTGGGTGGCTTACAACAATATATAAAAACACAACAAAGCATTGAATATTAAAAAACAAAATATCCTATACGAGCAACAAACCAAAACCAATAAATCAATAGAGACCAATAACAACAATAACAACAGGCTCTTCTTGTGTTCTTAACACAAAAGGACAGCAAGTAGCTGGATTCCCTCTTCTGCCAACGCCTAGCGAGACTAGCCCGTTTATTTATTGGCTGGCTAGCAATTTGGAGGGGGGGCTGTGGCTGGGTATTTACAATGCTGTGTGTGTGTTAATTGGCTCTTGCTCCTGCTATTAGACAGCACACTTGCTTTGAAATTCTATGACGCACTCTGTATTCGTAAAATTCGTAATGTGGGTGAAAAACGTCCTTGATTCTCCCCAGCAGCAGCACCCTCAGTCTCTCCTTTATTTCCTTTCCCCCTTTTTAGAGCTTTTTAAAAAGCCCATGGCAAAGTTGAGGGTCATAGAATCATAGAGTTGGAATAGACCACAAGGGCCATCGAGTCCAACCCCCTGCCAAGCAGGAAACACCATCAGAGCACTCCTGACATATGGTTGTCAAGCCTCTGCTTAAAGACCTCCAAAGAAGGAGACTCCACCACACTCCTTGGCAGCAAATTCCACTGTCAAACAGCTCTTACTGTCAGGAAGTTCTTCCTAATGTTTAGGTGGAATCTTCTTTCTTGTAGTTTGGATCCATTGCTCCGTGTCCGCTTCTCTGGAGCAGCAGAAAACAACCTTTCTCCCTCCTCTATATGACATCCTTTTATATATTTGAACATGGCTATCATATCACCCCTTAACCTCCTCTTCTCCAGGCTAAACATGCCCAGCTCCCTTAGCCGTTCCTCATAAGGCATCGTTTCCAGGCCTTTGACCATTTTGGTTGCCCTCCTCTGGACACGTTCCAGTTTGTCAGTGTCCTTCTTGAACTGTGGTGTCCAGAACTGGACACAGTACTCCAGGTGAGGTCTGACCAGAGCAGAATACAGTGGCACTATTACTTCCCTTGATCTAGATGCTATACTCCTATTGATGCAGCCCAGAATTGCACTGGCTTTTTTAGCTGCCGCGTCACACTGCTGGCTCATGTCAAGTTTGTGGTCAACCAAGACTCCTAGATCCTTTTCACATGTACTGCTCTCAAGCCAGGTGTCACCCATCTTGTATTTGTGCCTCTCATTTTTTTTGCCCAAGTGCAATACTTTACATTTCTCCCTGTTAAAGTCGTGCTTGATGGATGGCTGGTGGCCGTTCGGAACAGGTCTCCACGTTCTTAATACATTTCAAAAATTGCTGAAAATGTTAAGTACTTTAGTGTACGTCCAATTATGCCAAGCCTTAAGTTAAATCTGCTGTTACCTATTGTTGAGTATCTTCATGCCACTTGAACTATAATTTGTCTAAGCCTGGTCTTTTAACAATTATTTTAAGTGCTCTCTAATGGATTGGAATATAAAAGCAAATGCTTTGTGTCAGCTCCCTCTTTTGAGTTTAGGAGCTGAGTCCTTGCACTGGAGTTACTGAACTCCTTTCTGATAGATGACTTTCCCTAACAATTTTCCATTAGTGCAAAGAAAATGTTAAAAACACACACGATTTTTCTCTCTTGCATTTACTTCCCCGCATCCCCACTAATATACCACGACCAAGGGACAAAGAACGTGATGTAGCTCTGAACATGGGCTTCAGTCCTAAAATGTTAGCTTAAGGAGCAGCCACCATCGCTTCTGTAGAGTGGCTTGAACGATGTGGGATGTGTTATCAGGGGAGCAGGGGACGGGAAGTTTTCCTCTTCTGAATTTCCTGTTTATTTATTTATTGTGTCTGCACCCTACGTCAGGCATAGACAAACTCGGCCCTCCAGATGCTTTGGGACTACAACTCCCATCATCCCTAGCTAACAGGACCAGTGGTCAGGGATGATGGGAATTGTAGTCTCAAAACATCTGGAGGGCCGAGTTTGCCTGCCCTGTGTTTTCCTCAAGGAGCTCAAGGTGGTGTTTGTGATTCTTCCCCTCCTCATTTAATCTCCACAGTAGGTTAGGTGAGAGGCAGGAAGTGGCTCAAGGTCACCCAGTGAGCATAGTTCTTTATTATTGTAAATCTATCTCACCTGTTCTCCAAGGAGCTCAAGATGGCATGCATGGTTTGACGACCCCCCTCCTTTTTACCCTACTCCTGTGGAGTAGGTCTGCTGAGAGATGGTGACTGGCCCAAGGTAAACGTCGTGGCTGAGTGGGGATGTGAACTCTGGCATCCAAGGTCCTAGCCCGACACTTTTACCACCACATCTTAGGATCCAAGCTTTGAACATCTAGCCTCTCCCAAAATAACCTAACAGATTGGAGAACTGGGCCACAACCAACAAAAATAATTTCAATAGAGAGACATGTAAGGTTCTGCACTTAGGCAGGAAGAACTGGGTGCACAAATACAAGTTGGGGGGCACCTGGCTTGCCAGTAGTTCATATGAAAAAGATCTAGGGGTCTACGTAGACCACAAGCTTCACATGAGTCAACAGTGAGTCGAATTCTGGGCAGCACATTTAAGAAGGATATTGACATCTTAAAAAGCAGAGACATCACCTTGCCAACAAAGGTCCGTATAGTGAAAGCTACGGTTTTCCCAGTAGTGATGTATGGAAGTGAGAGCTGGACCATAAAGAAGGCTGATCGCCCAAGAATGGATGCTTTTGAATTAGGGTGCTGGAGGAGACTCTTGAGAGTCCCATGGACTGCAAGAAGATTAAGCCTCTCCATTCTGAAGGAAATCAGCCCTGAGTGCTCACTGGAAGGACAGATCCTGAAGCTGAGGCTCCAATACTTTGGCCACCTCATGAGAAGAGAAGACTCCCTGGAAAAGACCCTGAAAGATGGAGGGCACAAGGAGAAGGGGACGACAGAGGACGAGATGGTTGGACAGTGTTCTCGAAGCTACAAACATGAGTCTGACCAAACTGCGGGAGGCAGTGGAAGACAGGAGTGCCTGGCGTGCTCTGGTCCACGGGGTCACGATGAGTCGGACACAACTAAACGACTAAACAACAACAACAAGACGCTCTGGGAGCCCTGAAGAACAGGATACAAATGCTCGAAATGAAATAAGTTTTTAAAAAACTGTTCCTGCTTCACTCCTCAGCTGGGCGTAAGTGGGGCAAACAATCTATGAAACCACAAGTTAAGCTTGGTGTTCCATTACGTCAGCGGCCCAGGATCCTGGTAACAAGCCAGGATCATTTGCCAGCTTTAAAGCACAGCTTGGCGTCAGCCTCTGAAGATGAGCTTGTCAGAGAGAAACAGGCCACGATCCCGGTTTGGGCACTATATGAAGCCAAGCTTAACAGCATCAGTGCTTTCTCACTTGTGCCAGAGGAGGAGCACACAGTGAGAGCAATGGGGGAGCTTGCACCATCACACCACTTGTGCAACGACGCCAGAACAGAAACCCTAGCTTACCATGATGTGCGACACACGGCCAATGTCAAATCTGCATGGTACAATAGTTAGAGAATTGGACTAGGAGTTGCCAGGCCTTGAAGCTGACCGGGTGACCTCAGGTGAGCTGCTACCTCTCAGTCTCACCTACCCCACAGGGTTCTTGCAACAATAAAATAGTGTGGGTCAGGGAGATAACTGTGTGCGCTCATCCCTTGAGCTCCCCAGAGGAAGGGAAGGTGGAAATAAATAAATAGCCTGTGTGAGTTCAACAGAACATCGTCTACGACGAAGCTACTTGGTAAAAGAGGCCTTTAGCACCACATCCTCCAGCTAAAGAAATGTTGCATTGTAATGGAAGGATGCTAATTGTACAAACAAAGAGCTTAGTTACTGGAGCACTGTCAGCATTTAAAGGCAAACCATTCAAGGTACATTAAGAGAAAACCAATTACAGAGAAAAGCCTTCTCCTACTGTATTAAAAAGCTTGCTAATTAATAGCATTCCAGGGAGACAACTCGCAACAGCAATCTAAACGGTACTGAGGATGCACTGAGATTCTGCGAACACCAATTAGAAAACACAGGGATTTTGTTGTCAGGAACCAAACACACTTTCCTTCTTTCTTTTCTTTTTTTAAAAGTAACGCTAGGCCAACAACCCCTCGAGTTCTTTTTAACAATTCTGTTTGGAAATAATTAGAGCGCTGGCACCCATGTTAGTTTCCTTTCCCCTCCCCATTTCACATGAAGTTAAGACAAAAGCGGGAGAAAATTTATTTTTCACAATATTCCTTTGCGGAAGGAAAGCTTTGTGAAAAAGAAAAGGAAATCTTGCCGACACACGGGCCTGATCGTTGTCAGCGACAAATGCTTTGGGGTAACGGGCTTCCCCCGCCATCACCAGGCAGGGGGCAGCAAATTGCGCAAAAAGAGAACAAAGGCTCTCAGGTTCAAACCCCACATAGCCAGGGGAAAAGAATCAGGAAAAAGACCTGGGCTGATTAGCTTCTGGGCTCAAATTGAAGTGCTGGCATGGTACAAATAATAAAATTATTATGATTGTTTTTATTTAATTATTTAATTTAATTATTATTGTTGTTGTTGTTGTTGTTGTTATCAGTTGTGCTCAACTATAAAAGAGCTGAAATACAAATAGTTGAACAACATTGGGTAATTTTTGGCTCAAAATATCCAGAGGTAACCCAAGGAAGCTGGAAGACGGGAGATTCAGGACTGTCAAAAGGAAGCAGTTTTTCATTTGGTGCATTGTTAAATTGTGGCATTTGCTGCCTTAAGATGTAGCAATGGCTGCCATTTTGGACGGCTTTCAAAGGAGATCGGATAGATTCATGGAGGATATCCATGGGTCATGATGGCTATATTATCTCCAGTATCAGAGGCAGTACTGCCTATGCCTTTAAATAAATACCAGTTGCTGGGGGTCACCATAGGACACGTGCTATTGTGTACATTTTCCGGGCAACCAGTTGGCCACTGTGAGATCAGGACGCTGGACCAGACAGGCCTTTTGGTCTCACCCAGAGGGGCTCTCCTGATGTTCCTGCAACCATTTTTCTGTCAGGACTCCCTTAATGCTCACCTTCCCACTGGCCTGTCAGGACTAAGGTTCTGTTAATGACAATGTCTATCTCTCTGGCGCCATCTTCCACGGCGAGGCGGATCTCCTCCAAGCGGGTTTTCAGAGGTGTCTGCCCTGCTGGAAATCCGGTTGCCACTAAGAGAAAAAACATACACAGTGCAAGTTATTACTCTTGGTGCGAGCAGAGAGATAGCAGGGGGGGTGGGGCAACAGACATGAGCTTGCCAAATCTATAGAACTGGTTCACCACAGTCAGGTACTTCCCACAATCCAACCATCCACAATCCCTCCCAAATTTCCAGTCTCTCTTTTTCCTCAACAAAAGGGGGAAGTGTGAAAGTAAGCGGTTAAACTAGCACCACACACGAGACTCTAAAACAGAAGAGGCCAGCATTGTGCCCTTCAGGTCTGTTGGACTACAACTCCCATGATTCCTTGCTGTTGGGTTGCACAGGCTGGGTTTGATGGGAGCTGGCAATCCCTGATTCACATATCGATGATTTTCAAGCACTCTGCCCTCATGTAATTGCAATATAAACAGGAAAGGGAGAAAGCAGAGCTGCAACAAGCAAATTAACTTTCATCAGCAGTGCCATAGCTGTCAACGTTTCCCTTTTTTAAAAGGGAAATTCCCTTATTCTGAATAGGATTCCTCGCAAGAAAAGGGAAAAGTTGACAGCTATGATCAGCACTGCGTCACATGCATACATAATCTTATGTGTATGCCACCTTTCCACAGCTCAAACCATGCTCAAGGTGGCTTACTAGATAAAAAAACCCCCACATAACTACAACATAACAAAAGTAGTCATAAACAATAAACAAACTATTAAAAAATATATAACCAAACTGAGTAATTTCCACGTAAACAACAAAAACTCCAAACAGTGGTACACATTGTTGCCGCAGCCCCTATACCAGGGGTGACTAATCTTCTTTGGCTCGGGGGCCACATTCATCCCTCGTAATCCTCCAAGGGCCGCATAATGGGAATGCATGCGGTCAAGTCAGGCTCCACATGAGGAGACAGGGCCTATACAAGGACATTCAGACTCCCCTCTCGAAACGCAGCAGGAAAGCTTACCTGAAGCTACTGGGATGTCACAGCCAGCAGCCTTCAGTGCTTTCACTGCATCAGCGACTCTTGCTGGGTAGACGCAAACGGCAGCAGTAGTAATGCCTGCAAACAGATCAAGAATATGGTCCACTTTCGTTTCCGACTCACTTTCAAGGCCAGCCTTGCCACAAGGCAGGGCAAGGCCCCTCTCCACCATCAAAGGGCAGCAAATTGCCAAATGCGTAGATTAGATATATATAATTTCCATGGTGGGGCATCATTTTGCTTTCCTGTTTCACAAACAGCGACCCCAAGGGCCCATCTCTCCCATTCCCCAAAGCAAGAATTCACTGCTGAGAACTTAAATATTGGCTCTATTAAGAACGTAAGAACTGTGTTCTGCTGGATCAGGCCAAAGGCCCATCTAGTCCAGTATCCTATTCCCACAGTGGCCATCAGCCCTCTATCCACTTGTGAGTCCCAGAAACGGGCATCTGGGGGCACGATGCCTCTGATAGTGGATGCAGAACAAAACCACATCTTATTATGTACTTCCCGCTTCTCTTGAGCACTGCGAAGTTCCAGAGTTTCGTATCCCCGCAACACACCTGACAGCTACTGCGTTTTTGTAATGCTAGCTTTATTTGCCAGTATGAAGTCAGGTCACAACTGGAGACGAAGATCCCCCTTTAGAACTTACAGAAGTTCTCTTTCGTGGGTTTTTGCTTTTTACTCTGACGCCGTATTTTCAAAAAAAGAGTGTCCTGAGCCATATTTCGTGTGCCTTTGCTGCGAATCTGTAGACCTCCCAGAAAACCTTTTGCTTATGGGTGGTATAAAAATGTTGTAAATAAAATAGAATTCTTCATTTTGTAGAAGAACCTTTATTTAACAAAAACAAAAACTATACAGCGTGTGAATAGCCTTATTTGTAGCATGGCAGATACACACTGAAAAAGCAAGGCAACTCAGCTGAAGAACCTGGGCTATACTGCCACCTAGCTATTTTATTGTCTCTGACGGAGATTTGTTTAGCAGGAGACTGAACGTGCAGGAGACTGAACGTGCAGAAAAAGCAGGTGCCTCGAAAAGGCAGGCAGACACACACCCCACTACTCACCGAAACCTTATAAATGGGTGATGATGGGAGGCAGGGAGGGTGTTTGAAGATTATTGGGCTTACTCATTCCATGATCTGGGCAACAGGAGATCTATGGGTCATACTTATGCCACTTTCCCGTGAAAACAGTCACTCACAAAGCGGTTTACAACAAATAAAAACCAGAATGCGTCTCAAAACCAACCACCATGAGGAAAATTTCATAACGAAATGTTAGCAAATATAACAATGAACCACAAAGGGGGCAACGTTTCGGATGCTGATTGAATGTTGATTGCACAAAATTGGAAGACTGGAGAAATACCAGCTAAAGAACAATGGCAAGAGAAGTTGATGAACTATGCAGAACTGGCAAAAATGACAGACAGACTAAGAGAAAAAGACAACAGAGACTCTGAAAAAGATTGGGAACCATTCATATTATATTTGCAGAAACAAAGAAAGTCAATAGACTTGATGGCAGGATTTAAATAAACATTCACATTATCAGCATAAGAAAATGTTTAGAAGATAGTGAAATATGATGGTGTATTTACTTTTACTTTTATTTTTTTTAGGTTTGATGTTATGTTATTAATAACTTTTTTTGTTAAGAGATAGCAAAATGGGTGAAAATAGAAACAAACCAGAAGCGGAAGTTGGGGGAAGCCTTGGAGGGGAGGGAGGAAGGAATACATAGTAAATGTTAAGAATTTGAGGTGTATGTAATGAATGAAAAAGAAAAATGAATTAAAAAAGGACAGTCCAGGCCCTTACCTCTCAGCTTGATCAGACAGATCATACCCGCCCCCCAGAATGGCTGGTGCAACCCAGTCAGATGGACAGGGAATAAGTAATATATCATTATTATTACCAAACAAGAGAACCCTGCTAGTCCCCGTCCCGTCCCCCCCCCCCCCGTGTCTCAGAAACATGACGGTCTTCAACCTGAAGTTGGGCCTTTAGTATAGCTCTTCCAGCAGAGATTTTGCCAGGCGTCCTCACTGCTAACTTTCAGGCGCCTCTCAAATATATTTTTTTATGCCAAAAAACCTATTCCGTTCTTTAATTAACCCCCATTGCAAATCATTTTTATGACAGTTTGTTTCCGTGCTTCATTGGAATTGTACGTACCACCTTGATGATTTATACAAGTGGGCCATATATAAATATTTGTACAAATATAAATAAGAATGGTTAAGGCTATTGGGGCGGTGGGAGGGAAATGGAAAACCAGAAAGGGAGAGGATATGCAATGGAGTATTCTAAAAGAGGTTAGCACCCTCAACAGGAGCGCTCCACACTGCAACATTTCATTGCAGTTCTCACTTCTTCAGCTGAAGCCCTGGAATCCAGATTGTCCTTCTGAGCGGGACTAACCATTCAGCAGAAACCAGCACGCACCAGAGGATCGATCCAAGGGAGTTGGCACACAAACAGCCCATGTGTCTTTTCCAGATACACACGCCCTTAACAGAACCAAGGTTCCATTCCTGATTTGCACAGAAAGACTTACCTTTGCCGTCCACGCTCATAGCTTGCAACAGATCCCCTCGGATGGGATGCTTGGCTTTGTAGCACAACCTGCAGACGTTGGAAGGGGTGTCATCGCCTGAAAGGGTGGTGAGGTCGATGCAGGTGACGGCCCTCAGGTGCCAAGCTGCCTTTTATCATATAGAAATATACAATATATTAGGAAAAGGCCTTAGCATATAGCTGCATGCCTAGAGAACATCTGGGACTTCAGAGGCCAGGACAGATAAGAGCGCTGGTACATAAACAAGCTACAATGAACCACAGACTCTCACTTTCCCTCCTCTCGTCTATTTTCTGTGCCAGGAGAAGATCAGAAGCTTCTGGTGATTTTTAAACAAAACCAGTTTGCTGAAAATGCTCCCAAACCCAGCTGACCAAACCCTGCTTTCAACAGGGATCCTTCTCACCGGTCCAGATCCTATTCCCCCTCCTTCCTGTAGATTGTGGTTTAAGGGTGATTAAGTGGACAATATTTTGCCCACTGTATCTTTCAACTGGGTGGCGCTGTGGGTTAAACCACAGAGCCTAGGACTTGCCGATAAGAAGGTCGCGGTTCGAATCCCCGCGATGGGGTGAGCTCCCGTTGCTTGGCCTCTGCTCCTGCCAACCTAGCAGTTCGAAAGCATGTCAAAGGGCAAGTAGATAAATAGGTACCGCTCTGGCGGGAAGGTAAACGGTGTTTCCGTGCGCTGCTCTGGTTCACCAGAAGCAGCTTAGTCATGCTGACCACATGACCCAGAAGCTGTACGCCGGCTCCCTCGGCCAATAAAGCGAGATGAGTGCCGCAACCCCAGAGTCAGCCACAACTGGACCTAATGGTCAGGGGTCCCTTTACCTTTTTTATCTTTCAACTGGCACATTTCATGCATACTGCAGAGGGGAGGAAATAAATTTATTTAAAAGGAAACAAAAAACCAGGTACGATCCATCTAAAGTTAGGCAATTTAAAATCTCCCTGATTACAATGGAAAGGTCACCCACACACCCCTAATGCTGTTCCCTCTGACATGTATGGGAATTAGAAGGGCATAAATTTGTCCAGATTGCACTGGACCCATTGCCTTGCATTTGAAGTATTTAAAGTATTATAACCTAGAGAAGAGAAGGGACGCGGGTGGCGCTGTGGGTAAAAGCCTCAGTGCCTAGGGCAGAGGTCGGCAACCTGCGGCTCCGGAGCCGCATGTGGCTCCTTTAAACCTTTGCTGCGGCTCCGGGGCGCCTCTTCCCTCATGGTGCAGGGAGCGAAGAAGAGGAGGAGGGCGGCGGCGGCAGGAAGGCGCGCCAGGGCGCAGCGGCGGTTCTCCCTTCAGTTGGACACTGTTGCCACTGCCACCGCTGGCACCTGCCACACACGGGCGCGTCCACAAGCAGGCGCGCTCCCTTTCGCCGTCGGTCGCAGCAGCCCGCCCGCCCTCAGGCCCCGCGCGCTGCGCCGCTTGACGTTGAGAGCCGCCCACCCAGGCCACGCTCTCCTCAGCCCCGCACGCGAGGCACCTGAGGCGAGGGAGAGAGCGCACACACGCTCGAGGGAAATGGCGGGGTGGGGTTTGTGTGTGTGTGTGTGTGAGAGAGAGAGAGAGGGGTGGGTGGCGGTGGTGCTTCGGGATCCTTTTCTGTGCCTTGCTTCTGAGTGGCCGCCGAGTTGAGGGAGGAGGGGGTCCAGAGGTAGCCAGCAGGAGAGGCGGGGGAGCACGAGAGCAATTGCAGAGGGAGGGGGAGCTGTTAGGCACCAAAATCCTGCATGCGGGATTTCCCCGTTCTCTCGTGCCTATGCAATTCCTGCCCTTCTCCCTTCCCCCTCGAGATTTGCTGCAGAGACAAGCAAATGAAGAAGAAAGGGAAGAGTATTAGCTGACATGTCCCCTGGTCCCATGGAAAGCACCACAGATTCCTTTGCTTACCAGCTCTTTTTATTTTAAGTTGGCTTCAAACCTGTAATTGTGTAGGTGTATGTATGTATACATATACACACATAAATATTCATATCTCTTCCCTCTCACCTTCCTTTCACCCAGTTTCTCTGGCACTGGTTTATAAATGCTGCTATGTAGAAATGATGAGAAAGTTGCACCAGCAGAAGGAATGGATATGTGCTGTTAGTAAAAAGAGAGGGAGTTGAACTGCAGGGAGGGACAGACACTTTTCTATGTATTAATTTGTATAATGCCCTCTATGCACATGGTGCTTTGCAAAAAATGGATATGAGAGGTACCATTCCCCTCTTTGCTATCTGAAATAGACTCAGGGAAAAGAGAGAGAATGGGGGAAGGGGAAGAATGTGTGGTTATTTACATTTGGCTTGTTTTGCGGCTCCCAGTTGTTGTTTTTTCTTCGAAAACGGGTCCAAGTGGCTCTTTTTGTCTTAAAGGTTGCAGACCCCTGGCCTAGGGCTTGCCGATCGAAAGGTTGGCGGTTCGAATCCCCGCGGCGGGGTGCGCTCCCGTGGCTCGGTCCCAGCGCCTGCCAACCTAGCAGTTCGAAAGCACCCCCGGGTGCAAGTAGATAAATAGGGACCGCTTACTGGCGGGAAGGTAAACGGCGTTTCCGTGTGCGGCTCTGGCTTGCCAGATGCAGCTTGTCACGCTGGCCACGTGACCCGGAAGTGTCTGCGGACAGCGCTGGCTCCCGGCCTCTTAAGTGAGATTGGCGCACAACCCTAGAGTCTGTCAAGACTGGCCCGTATGGGCAGGGGTACCTTTACCTTTTTTTTTAACCTAGAGAAAGGAATACTGAGAGGTAAAGTGATAGCCATCTTCAAAAATATGTTTATAAATGCTTCAGTTTCCGAACGTGCCTCGGAAGTCAAACATGCCACGCGGCTTCTGTATTGAGTTTTCTGTACGGAGGCTTCCGTACTTGAGTTTTCGGTTTTCCAACGTTTCAAAACTCGAACAGTCTTTTGGAATGGATTACGTTTAAAAACCGAGGTACCACTGTAATGCTAGAAGAAGAATTTGTTTCCATCCAAAATTCATCGGCCATCAAAATCAAATCTTGCTTGTTTGTTTGTTTTAAAAAATACTAGGAAATCAAGTAATCAGCTCACTTCAGGCAGACTTTACTAAGCTTCAAAGAAGCGTGACTAGCCCAAAGTCACCCAGCAGCTGCATGTGGAGGAGCGGAGACGTGAACCCGGTTCACCAGATTACGAGACTTCCGCTCTTAACCACTACACCACACTGGCTCCAGTGTAGAGGAGAAAGTTCCACTGCACAGCCATAAGTCCTCACGCTAATGGAACTGCATGGCTGACTATTGCTTCAAAACCCAACTGTTTTGAAATGTGGCACTTAGCTGTTTTAGCATCCTTTGCTTCTCTTTCTAGACCCTCCTAAAACATCCCCAGACCTTTTCACACCCCAGTGTAAAGTACTGAAAAAAAAGACTGTGCTGTATTGAGAATGGATGTTATGAATCAAGCTCTCTTTGAGAATCATTTAGATTCCCTATCTCATGGAGAAAGCAGGGGTAGATACAAAGGATCTCTTCCCTTTTTGCTCTGAAGCACTTTGCTTTGCTTTTCGTAAGTGTAAAAATGAGACCAAGCACACTTTTATTGTTGTTGGAATTCCTATTCCAGCTAAAATAAATGGAATTAAAATTGAATGTATAATCAGCTCCTAGGAAAGACATTCTGGCCTCCACAGTTGAAAAAAGAGTTGTGAAGACAGATGTAGCAAAAACGGTTCCAAGAATTGGTGTGAACTTGTACGGGGGCTTTTTTTTTTGGTTGTTGTTTAACTGAGAAGTTATTTTTACAGAAGAGGCTGAGCTATGAGAGCCTGACTACATATTCCATAGCCAAACCTTTGCCAACACTCACGATATTTCAAAGAAATATGTCTGTCTAATCCAAGCTGATATTAAAACCCACTATTAGCAGTTTTTAAGCAGAGACATTCAAATATCCATATTAGGGCAATGCCTTTAGTTGAGCAACCAAACAGGATTTTGTGATATTTCAGTCAGTAATATAAAGTCATTACTCTAATGTGGATGTTTTATTTAAGTAATTTTTTAAAAAAATTAGGTGAAAACAAATTTGCAAAACCCATGAAAACTACACAGAATATCAATCAATGATGAAAAGGGAATGTCCAACATTCTAAGGCTGCAACAGAAGTCTAATGTCCAGACCAGAGGAAATAATAGTACCTCTCTATTCTGCCCTGGTCAGACCACACCTGGAATAATGTGTGCAGGTATGGGCAACACAATTTACGAAGGATGTTGATAAGCTGGAATGTGTGCAGAGGAGGGCAACCAAAATAATTCAGGGTCTGGAAAATAAGCTCAGTAAGTTTTGAACTTGAAGTCTCACCAGCCCCAGTTAAGGTTGCCAGGACTCCAGGAGTTGCCAGGACTCCAGGAGCTGACCAGGAGTTTCCAAGTTTCACCATCATCATCAGTGCTTTTTTTTCTGGGGGGATGCATAGCCCTAAACATTTTGTGAATCTTTGTACTTTTATCCATTTCCTGTATTTCCTGTATTTATTTTTCCTGATTTGAAGTATAAAATGGTGATTTTCTTGAGTCAAAATGAGAGTACCCCGAAACATTTTTTAAAGAAAAAAAATACACTGAAAATGATGAAAGAATTGTCCAAGGGGTGGCTTAGAAAATGCACACGCCTACCCACTCATGAATCAACGTATTTAAAGCTTATTTGTGGTTTTGCCCCTCTCCGAGGTGCCTCAACACCCACACACAAAAACTCGCTGTTGGAAAAGAATCTTTTTACCAGCCTCATTACCATGGTCCTCAAAAATGAATTATTACAAAAGGCAAGCACCATATTTTATATCTATAGGCAACTTGAACAAAATTCAGTACCTTAGATCGCGACCGCCTTGGTACTCGGACGTTTTGGCTCCCGAACGCCGCAAACCTGGAAGTGAGTGTTCCGGTTTGTGAACGTTCTTTGGAACCCGAACGTCCAGCAGGGCTTCCATGGCTTCTGACTGGCTGCAGGAGCTTCCAATCAGAAGCCGCGCTTTGGTTTCCGAACGTTTTGAAAGCCGAACGGACTTCCGGAACGGATTCCGTTCGACTTCCAAGGTATTAAAGCCCATGGAGGTATAACAGGTGTCTGTGGAACACGAGAGCAGAATACTCAAGGAGCAAAAGGACGTTGCCCGATACGGAGTCAGATCACTGGCCCATCTTGTGCAGCACAGCCTACACTGAACGGCAGCCAGAGTTTCAAGCTGGGGATTCTCCCAGCAGCTACCTGGAGATGCCAGAAATCACCCTCGAGACCTTTGACACGCAAAGCATGTTCCCTACCCCTCGGACAAGACCCTCTCCTGGGAGCCACTTACCTGCCAATTCTTTTTCACAGCCCGCTGTGTCTGAATTTGAGCTGCCCGCCTCAGGACCGCCGGCTGGTTCACCCGGACTCTCGCAAGCCAGCTGAGGTCTGTGAGGAAAAGTGCCTAGTTCTGTTTAGTACATTTATTATTATTATTATTTTGAATGTATTGCATCGCATCTATGTAACCCAAATAATAAAGCAGAACAAAGTCGTAAAAACTAAACCAAACCAAATCAATAAGCAACATGGCACCCCCAGATATGCTGCTTGGTGCCTATTAAGGCCCTCTGCCCCACTCTTCCCCCCCTTTTTTTCAATTACATTTAGGATTGTTTGGGGTCCTGTCCCCCCCCTTTTTACCCTGGGCTGCAGCTGGCAGGGTGGACAGATCCATGCAAGGGAACGTTCCCCAAACTGCCAATCATCATTTGTATGCTGCCCATCTAACTGAGTTGCCCCAGCCACTCTGGCCACTCTTGCAAGCATCACCCAAATTCAGTAGCCTTTCCTATCCACACTCAAGTTTAATCAGAATTAAATTCCGCAAGGAAGAAAACCACAATTTCAATCCCTGAGCCGTTTTGCAGTGTGATGTCCATGCCAGTTTCTCAGATTTCAAAATGTGTCACCCGGGGACTGGAAAAGTTGGGGACCCATGCCCTCTTTTGAGAACTGCTTCACAAATAAAGTCCCCCCCCCATAGTAAAAAAGGTAAAGAGACCCCTGGCCACTAGGTCCAGTCGTGACCAATTCTGGGGTTGCGGCGCTCATCTCGCTTTACTGGCCAAGGGATCCGGCGTAAAGCTTCTGGGTCATGTGGCCAGCATGACTAAGCTGCTTCTGGCGAACCAGAGCAGCGCACGGAAACACCATTTACCTTCCCGCCGGAGCGGTACCTGTTTATCTACTTGCACTTTGATGTGCTTTTGAACTGCCAGGTTGGCAGGAGCAGGGACTGAGCAACGGGAGCTCACCCCGTCGCAGGGATTCGAACAGCCGACCTTCTGATCGGCAAGTCCTAGGCTCTGTGGTTTAACCGACAGCGCCACCCGCATCCCCCGTATACTATACACAGATTATTCCTACGTAAGCTGGAGAAGCACATATTATTATTAATTGGATTTTTTACTTGCCGTTCACCGTAAGGTCCCAGGGCAGCTGACATCAATTTAAAAATAGAGTATTAAAACCTTTTTTTAAAAAATCAAACAAAAAAACAGTCAAGAGAAAAGGGTGGCTCCTAAAAAAAATATGCATTTCAGGTATACAAGGCCTGGGAAAGATGTGCAACCTGCTGTTTCAGAGTTCAGCTTTCCAGGCAAATGCAGGTCAGAAATCTGGATATATTGGGGAGGGGGGAATTATGTGTGAATCATCTCAAGTACCTGCCAAAGGAGAAGCAGGGAAGCAGCTTAGATATTCATTAAACATGGAGCGTGAATAGTCCCATTTTTTATATGTCATCTGCTCCATCTAAATATTCATGGGGCTTCAGGGATAAAAGTAATTAAAGCAGTTAAACTACAGCTAATTAGCCAACTTTCTTTTAATCCTCCTCTGGAAAAAAAAAAAGAATGTTTTACTCCCTCTGAAGACGTGTCCAAAAAAGAAGAAGAGAGAGCGGGGAAAAAACAATCTTCAAAACTGTATTTAGAAGTTTCATGGGAAAGTCAATCTTCCTTTTTTCTTTTCTTTTTTTAACTTGAGGGCCTGTGACTGTAGGCAGCTTGGCCCATTATGCCTCAGGGTACCACAGCATAGCTGGTGTTGCGCCAAAGAGAAAAGGACGTTAATAAGATAGCTTTGAACTGGATGGCTACAGAGTACAGGCGAATTCTCTTTAATTGGTATAAAACGGTGCCAACCCACGAAGCAACGGGTAGTGGAATATCTGCCCAAATGGCAGGCAGTGAAGTGCTATACTTCATGAGAGGAGAGACGATAGCCGTCTTCACAGATCTCAAGGGCTGGCACATGGAAGATGGAGCCAGCTTGTTTTCTCCTGCTCCGGAGGGTAGGACTTGAACAGATGATTTCAAGTTACACTACTGAGCAAGGGGTATCCAAGGCCTGTCTTGGTAGAAGCAAGATTTCTACAAGCATCCAGAGATACCCATTTTAGACATCTAGGGCACACTGACAGCCTAAAAAAGACGTTGGACTACAACTCCCATTAGCACCAGCCAGCATGGCCCAGTAGACAGGGATCATGGGAGTTGTAGTTCAACACCACCTGGAGGTCAGAGGTCCCCATCCCTGGCCTAGCACCTCCACTTAGAAAGGTCAGGTAGCAGATAATGGGAAATGGGCTCACCACTAATCCTGTGACACTGGCTCCTGCCAGTCAGAGTAGACAATAATAGGCAGGAGGGTCAACTCCTCTGATCTGGTGTTCCCTACAATACTCAGGATTTATTCACAGGGCCTCCTCAGTTGTGGCCCCAACACACTTTGTCTTTTGAGGACCCCCAAAATCTAGGGCTGGATTTCTACTCTCAGACAGTTCTTCATTGATATTTTGCAATTGTAGATGAAAGGTGACTTTCTGTTCCATTCGCAATCGTGAGCGTTCTTCGAATTTGATCTTTGATTTTTTTATATATGCACTGAGTTTTTGTTTGCTTTTTTTGGTTACCTCTTTAAAAAGCTCTTAGGGCTCATTAGCTTGCCTGAGTGAGCCTAGACTGCTAACCTATATATGTGATGGTTTTGCCTTGCAATCTCTACATTTTGGGGACGTTGTTTTTCAAATACATACAGTATCCTGATTAGAGTTATAATTCCTTTGTAGTGCGTAAAGGTAAAGGGACCCCTGACCATTAGGTCCAGTCGTGGCCGACTCTGGGGTTGCGGCGCTCATTTCGCTGTATTGGCCGAGGGAGCCGGCGTACAGCTTCCAGGTCATGTGGCCAGCATGACTAAGCTGCTTCTGGCGAACCAGAGCGCACGGAAACACCGTTTACCTTCCCGCCGGAGCGGTACCTATTTATCTACTTGCACTTTGACATGCTTAGCAAGGCACTAAACCAGGCATAGGCAAACTCCAGCTCTCCAGATGTTTGGGACTACAACTCCCATCATCCACCAACGGTCAGGGATGATGGGAGTTGTAGTCCCAAAACATCTGGAGGGCCGGAGTTTGGCTATGGCTGCACTAAACCTATTACTGCCTTTTCCATTACTCGATCTTTGAACTTGCAAGTTCCTTCTACCATCCCTATATACCCAAAGTGTACACCGACGTTCCAAATTTGGTGCGCTCAGGATGCTTCTGGACTAAAACTCCCGTGACCACTGCTCATGCTGTCTAGAGCTGATAAGAGATTCTTATTATAATTATTTACTAAATGTGTATAAACCCTTGGAGTGTCTGGGGTGGTAGGGGAGTGGTAGTAGCTCTGGCAGGGTGTTCCTTCTGGTGTAAAATGTTCACATTTTGTAGACTGAGCTCTCACCTGTGGCTCCTAGAAAATGTCAGCATGTGACAGTGGCCACACCCTGGGAATGGCTTTGACTGGCTGGTTAAACCAGGTGAGGGTAGCCAATGGCTCTAAAAGCCTCAGTGAGTTAGGGACTTCCCCTCCAGCAGATTGAGAGGACGAGACCAATAGCGGGTCAAACGGTCAAGACGGCATTTCCTGCACATGCTGTAGACGCAGCGGTTCTCAACCTGTGGGTCCCCAGATGTTGTTGGGACTACAACCCCCATCATCCCTGAGCTCTGGCCTTGCTTGCCAGGGGTGATGGGAGTTGTAGTTCAACAACATCTGGGGACCCACAAGTTGAGAAAGGCTGCGTAGAAGGAAGTGAGGGGCAGATGATGCTCATCAACCCAGGAAGGTAGCCCATCTAGGAGAAGGAAAACTCTGATCCTAAACCTCTGCTGCCCTGTGGGGTATCTTCAGGAGATGAAAAGGCTCAGGAGTGAAACCCCACAGAAATCTGGAATGGAGTCCCTAAGACAGTTTGGACGGCACTTTGGACACCTCCTTCTGGCATCTCCTGCAGCCAAGCTGATGTGGTCCAAAGGAAAGTAGAGCAATACGTTTGGCACCAGCCTCCCTAATTAATGAGTGGATGATGCCTTGCATGCTGGTGCCAGATGTACTGCTCTACTTTCCTTTGGACCACATCAGCAAGGGGGGGGGGGGTGCGTGTTCTTGATGTCCTGGCAGCCGAGGACCTCCAGACACACTGCTCAGGCTCACACCCAAGGAGGTCACTTTGGTGGGGGTTTTTTTATTGTTTTTTTTAAATGATATTTATTACTTTTCGAACAGTTACAACACAACACTACAAACAAAAAAAGAAAAGAAAAAGAACAATACAAATACAATACAGTGGTGCCTCGCAAGACGAAATTAATTCGTTCCGCGAGTTTTGTCGTCTTGCGATTTTTTTCGTCTTGCGAAGCACGGTGTCGGGAAAGTTTTGGAAAAGCTTCAAAAATCACCAAAGTCTTTAAAAACCTCAAAAAAGGCTACCACACCGCGTTCTATGAGTTGCTCCTCGAAGTCAAGTCGCAACTGTATTGACGGTGTTAAGAAAAAGGAAACAAACTTGCAAGACGTTTCCGTCTTGCGAAGCAAGCCCATAGGGAAAATCGTCTTGCGAAGCAGCTCAAAAAACCAAAAACCCTTTCGTCTTGCGAGTTTTCCGTCTTGCGAGGCATTCGTCTTGCGAGGTACCACTGTACAAAAACACTACATAACACATTAATCTAACAAAACAAAACAAAAACAAACAAAAACAATTTAAAAACACCTCAAACATTTTCAATTATCTTATCTTTCATTCGCTTATTTCCAACGACCTCCTCACACCTCCCTTTTTGTATTCCACTTCTATTAATTGTTTCAGCAATTCCTTTCCATCTTCCTCTGTTTTCTATCCTATAATTATCTTAACACATTCTTGCCTTGTTTTTTCCTTTAATTTTCTATTGATCTATTTATACTTAATTCCTTATAACATTTCTACTAAAGCCATATAACTTCATTCCAACATTCTTCTAACATTCATTAATTTTACAATATTTCTATAAATAGTCTTTAAACTTTTTCCAGTCTTCTTCCACCGACTCTTCTCCCTGGTCTCGGATCTTGCCAGTCATTTCCGCCAATTCCATATAGTCCATCAACTTCATCCAAGGAGGTCACTTTGGAGCTGGTAACGCAGCAATTTGATTTCACCCTCAGAGGCACTGTCTCTCGAAACAGGCAGGGTGTATATGTACAGTGGTACCTCGGGTTACATATGCATTCAGGTTACATACGCTTCGGGTTACAGACTCCGCTAACCCAGAAATAGTACCTTGGGTTAAGAACTTTGCTTCAGGATGAGAACAGAAATCGTGCTCCGGCGGCAGCAGGAGGCCCCACTAGCTAAAGTGGTCCTTCAGGTTAAGAACAGTTTCATGTTAAGAACGAATTAAGTACTTAACCCGAGGTACCACTGCATATGGGACGCGGGTGGCGCTGTGGGTAAAACCTCAGTGCCTAGGGCTTGCCGATCGCATGGTCGGCGGTTCGAATCAACGCGGCGGGGTGAGCTCCCGTCTTTCGGTCCCAGCTCCTGCCCACCTAGTAGTTCGAAAGCACCCTTAAGTGCAAGTAGATAAATAGGTACCGCTTTATAGCGGGAAGGTAAACGGCGTTTCCGTGTGCTGCGCTGGTGCTGGCTCGCCAGAGCAGCTTCGTCACGCTGGCCACGTGACCCGGAAGTGTCTCCGGACAGCACTGGCCCCCGGCCTCTTAAGTGAGATGGGCGCACAACCCTAGAGTCGGACACGACTGGCCCATACGGGCAGGGGTACCTTTACCTTTACCACTGTATATGTAATAATAATAATAATAATAACTTGCAGTTTTTGCAAGAGGTTCCATGCACCAAATTTCCACCAATGTACTAAACCCACGTGCGATTCAGATAGATCTGCTCCCCTGGTGTGGACTTTAAACCCTTTCGTAACAAGAGGAATTTTGCCAAGGATGACCAAAGGGAAAAGGAAGGCAGCTACCTCCACAATAGCTGCCTGGCAGAAGGAGTTTAGATAAGTGGACTCCCACAACCGCCCTTCACAAGCTGCAGCTACGAAAGTTTCTCTTCTCTCCCCAACTATTATAAAATGCAGAATTCTTTTCTTCCTGGGATCACCAGCAAGCTTGGGCACTAAATAAAGCACACTGACTAAGGTGCACGTTCCACTGACCTCAGCAGCGTTGTCTCTCCATAAATACGTCTCATCTGCAGTTAGCATGCTGCCCTTAAGGCTTGGGAGAAACAGGGTTCAAATCCCCACCCAAACAAAGCTCACTGGGCCATTTGCCAGCTCTCAACCTGACCTACCTTGTCTGGCTGTTGTGAGGATAAGACAAAGAGTGCTGTTTTGAGCTGCCCCTCTGAGGAAGGACAGAATACCAATAATAATAATAATACTTAATATACTAGTGCTTAGGACTGCACTGCATGCTCTCACTGGATAGCAAATCTTACTAGCAGAATTTAAGGACATATACAGAAAATTGCACAGTTGGATACCGTACGTAGACAGTGGAATACTTAAATATTTTTGGATTCTGGAATGCATGGTCTTGCCAAGCCAGTCGAAAAGTGCGACACCCCCCCCCCAAAAAAATAAGCCATTCCCGTTGCGTGGGGGGGGGGGGAGTGTCACCCTTAATCAGGCACAGAATGTCCCAAACCCAGTGGGGCTTCTCCTGCAATCCCAGCCCCCCACTGACCTGGAGGTAAGCCACGCTGAATTGAGCAGGGCTTGCGTCTAAACGGGCACAGCTGGGATTGCTTGTGAGTAAGCATTCGCGGGGCTTGCAACGACCCTGGCGCCTGCCCTCCTCCCGCTCTGCAGCACCCGAGCCAGCCTTACCTAGCGCCGTGCCCTGGTTCCTAGCAGCCATGATCGGGGCAATTCCGCCTCTCCTTCCAAGCTTCCCGCACTTCCTGCTCTGCGTTTCCTCCTCCTCTTCCTGCTGCCTCAACCCGCCTCCCACAACCCCGTGCAAAAGAGTCTTTGCAAAGTCCGCGCCGAGTGGTGGAAGGGGCGATGCAAAGTATGCTTGTCGTTTTGCTACGCTTGCAAGCCGGCCTCAATCTTTCGCTGTTCTGCTTTCAAGTGCAACGTTTCCTACTGCTTGTTTGTTTGAATCTAACGTTTGCAGCAGGATCTGTTCGCCCTGCAGCCGGACCCCAGGCAGACTTGACTTGGGAACACGTGCTCCTCATTTGCCATGGGAACCTAGGAAGCTGCCTTTGTGTAAGAGTCAAAACCATCGGTTCTCCACCTTGCTCAGTCTTGTCTGCACTGACTGACAGCAGACACACACACACACACGGTTTCCAGGCAAGGGTCTTCCCCTTAGTCCTATCTGGAGATGCCGGCCTGGGCTTGAACTTGGGACCTTCTGTATGCAAGGCAATCTGCAAATGTGGCTGTCCCTAAATTGTGGGGATTCTCTCTGCACTTGCAGAAGTGCGTTTAGCACCACGTACAGCTTTCCTCCTATGCTGAAGTGGCACCTCTTTAACCTGGCCTTTGGCACTCGATATGTGTATGTGTGTGTGTGTGTGTTTAGGATCCACTTTAGTGCAATTAGTTTCAAACTGAAGTCTGTAAGCCCTGTCTTTAGCAAGAAGATTCCTGCATTGCATTTCTCCAAGGAGTTCAAGGCGGTGTATATAGCGGATGGAACGGGGTTCTGGGTTTCCATCCGACCCCCACCTTGAGCCAATTTCAGGGGGAACACTGGTAGATGGGGGGGAAACCACCCAGCCTCTTGGGCTTGCCAATCAGAAGGTCGACGGTTCAAAACCCTGCAATGGGGTGTACTCCCATTGCTCTGTCCCAGCTTCTGCCAACCTAGCAGTTCAAAAGCATACCAGCACAAGTAAATAGGTACTGCTGCGACGGGAAGGTAAAAGGCATTTCCGTCCGCTCTGGCACTTGTCAAGAGTCCTGTGTGCCAGAAGTGGTTTGGTCATGCTGGCCACATGACCTGGAAAAGCTGTCTGCAGACAAACACCCATTCCCTTAGCCTGAAAGGGGAGATGAGTGCTGCACCCCATAGCCAAATTTGACTGGGCTTAACTGTTCAGGGGTCCTTTACCTTTACAAGAACCCTTGTGCAGGGCTTCCAGACAGAGTTCACTAGCTGAATCCAGTTGGGAGACCTCAGACACACAGATGATAGACAAGGTAACATCACACAGCACTAAGCTTGCAGTTTTGTCCCCATTGCGTACAGCGAGTTTCAGCCAAAAGTATAAGCACCATCCTATTGCTGACACACATTTGGTGTAGCAGACCAATGATGGATTGGGTGAGCCAGAAAATCTATTTTAAAAATGTAAGATACAGTGGTGCCTCGCAAGACGAAATTAATTCGTTCCGCGAGTTTTGTCGTCTTGCGATTTTTTTCGTCTTGCGAAGCACGGTGTCGGAAAAGTTTTGGAAAAGCTTCAAAAATCACCAGTCTTCAAAAACCTCAAAAAAGGCTACCACACCGCGTGCTATGAGTTGCTCCTCGAAGTCAAGTCGCAACTGTATTAACGGTGTTAAGAAAAAGGAAACAAACTTGCAAGACGTTTCCATCTTGCGAAGCAAGCCCATAGGGAAAATCGTCTTGCGAAGCAGCTCAAAAAACCCTTTCGTCTTGCGAGTTTTCCGTCTTGCAAGGCATTCGTCTTGCGAGGTACCACTGTACATGAGAACACTGCTGTATATATTTCCTTCGAACCATACTCTACAATAAAGCGGATGAACAGCTTTTCCATGGATGTTTCAACTATTAGAAAGCAAGTATAGCTCAACAATATTTTATTGAGAACCCTTTCCTTAGTGGAGTATTGGGGAACTGGTGACCTTTCAGCTGTTTTTGTTTGCTTGTTTGGTTTGTTTTTTCCTACCCGACCAAGTTAGCTGGGAATAATGGGAGTTGAGAATCCCAACATCATCCAAAATGCAATTCCAGCTCTGCCCCGGTGGGACACAGATACCACCACTCATGCAGAACTCATACTGAGATATAAAAACTGGAAGGGAGAATGAGGCAGGAGCAATGCGCAGCGGCTGCACTACACAACAGCTGGGGAAGGTTAGTACTGAAAAACAGCTGGTCTAGACCTAAGTGGCATAATCACAAAGTCACAGCTCATGTTTGGTTATTTTGATTTGGGACTGCAGAATTTCAGTACTACCCTTGATTGTTGTTTTCTACTGTTCGTCATCCATTGGCACAGTGGTACAAGTTAAAGAACAGCTACACCCGCTGAATTACCCGATGAGATAATTCTACATCTAGCTGCTCTTGAACAGGCCCCCAAACCCAGAGTCCCATTAATTCTATGTTCTCAAACTGTGTTTTCGTCCTTTTCCATCTTTTTCACACCTTTCCCTTAAAGTGATAAGTATTTAAATACTCCTACCCAATACTAAGGGACGCGGGTGGCGCTGTGGGTAAAAGCCTCAGCGCCTAGGGCTTGCCGATCAAAAGGTTGGCGGTTCGAATCCCCGCGGCAGGGTGAGCTCCCGTTGCTCGGTCCCAGCACCTGCCAACCTAGCAGTTCGAAAGCACCCCCGGGTGCAAGTAGATAAATAGGGACCGCTTACTGGCAGGAAGGTAAACGGCGTTTCCATGTGTTGCGCTGGCTCGCCAGATGCAGCTTTGTCACGCTGGCCGCGTGACCCGGAAGTGTCTCCGGACAGCGCTGGCCCTTGGCCTCTTGAGTGAGATGGGCGCACAACCCTAGAGTCTGTCAAGACTGGCCCGTATGGGCAGGGGTACCTTTACCTTTACCCAATACTATCCTTTGACTTTTTGGCTTCCCAGCACCCGTTTATTCCTTTAAAAACACTTTTCAGAAACCTTATCAGAATAGAACTGTCGTTACCGAGAAGATCAGGGTCTTCTTGGAATGTACAGCTTTGGCCACAAATACATGAAGCATCCCAAACACATTAGGATATTTGCAAGCTGCCTGTATAATGACACTTATGCACATTTAACTTGTGCACACTCAGTTTTATGCACTTGGCAATAAAAAAATAAAAATAAAAATGAAGCAGAAAAGGGGTGGGCATAGAGGAAAAGACGACTTGGGCAACCCCCTCCCCAATTGAACACAGTGTGACTATACACAATTTTGGCTTCGCACACTAACCCCGGAACATAACCCCATATAAGTTGAGTCTCACCTGTATGTATATATGAAAGGCTCATTTATATTTATTCTCCAGTTAATACAGATGGCCCCCTCAAAACCACAACTTTATTCCTATACACCATATGTATAATCTGATGACACACAAAAGACCAAATTTAAATCGGGGGGGGGAAACAAAACTTACTTCTGGTGTAGAAAGCGGATGCTACTGGGAGAAATTAAGATGGAAGATTGGCCCAATATTGTTATTTTAGAGAGAAGGTTGATTAAATAAATTCGCCAAGGTGGAGTGGGGAAAATAAAAGCCTGAAGCAGAAGCGAATTCAGCCACCTACATGCAAAAACTACCAGCAGTCTTAGCAGACTTATCTCATTAAAACCTCAAAAATGCTCAGTGCTGTTAGTGAACAGATGAGTTAGCTTGTGCAATTTATAAGCTCTCTAAAGAGGGTTGTTGTAGAGGCATTTTATTTATTTAGATGGTTGAAAACAGATTATTTAGATGTGGTGTACAACAAAAGGGGAAAAAACCAAATCCGCTGTTTTCCCACATAACCCTATCTTTTTGCCAATTCTTTCCACTTTCAGAGAACACTCTACTAGAAGCCATTACATTTCTCCTCAATTATTAACACTATACTGAGTTAACCACAGTTGGAGAAACTGGGTCTCGGCTGCCATGTTACATTCAGACATACAACAGGCAGTGGCGCTAGAAGATAGCGAAAAACCGTTACTGCTCATCTCATTCAATACTCTCAGCTCTCTTGAAAGACAGCCAGTTCCAATACATTCTCATCAATTACTGCCCATCTTTGCCTTGGGGTACAGTGTGCACCCTGGGACGCTGCTGCATTCCACTGCTTCCTTGATTTAGTCTCAAAATGTCCATATGTTGCCACTGACAGCTGCGAACTTAAGCCTTAACTTCAGGAGTTGTGCTGTAGATGGAATCTGAGTTTTCAGAGCCAAGGTCTTCTGCAGAGTCAAGAAAGGAAACACCGACATAATTAATTTTCAGCAGGCAGATAAATTCATCTACTTTATTCAAGCATTCTGTCACGCAATTATTTCAGGTACTCTTATCTATACTTAACAAACAGCATTGCACTCATTAAGTGTGCGGCCCAATCATTACTCTAGCAATGCTGTTTTGGCCACAATAGCAGCATCTGGTACATACTTGTCCCCGTTCACTGTTTAAATGGAGGGAAACTTCCCTGCTATGCCTTCTAGACAGCCCTTGGAGCCATCTCAGATCACAAGGAGCTAGCTGCTTCTCTGCTGCCACTCGCTTCCCAAAAAGGGTCTTCCTTGCACTCTTTCACTTGGTTTTTGAAGTTCCTGAACCTACATGGCTAAGCATGGGGTAGGGGGTATGGACCTCTACTATGTAGTGTTTGAACATTTCACAGTGGTTCCTATTCCACACCCACAACCCGCTTCCCCCAACTGACTTAACACACTACACCGTAAAAACATATGTTGTGGCCATTATCTAAATTACTCTGTGGCCAGCACAGCTGTCAGCTCATTACCTAGGTCTTCCTCCGCAGTTCCTGGAAGGTTGGCCTTTGATTTCGCCAGCTCTACAGCTTCTTCTTCTACAGAGAAAGAAAACAGAGTCCTCTTTTTGTATGCTCAAACATGCCAAACTTTGTTGTAAAAAGCATCAATGTCTGCTGCAGAACTGCAGGAATTCTGCAATTCACCGAGCAAATGGCATCACTGCTTTTCTGTATTTGTTGAATTCACCAGTGTGCTTTTCCATTATACGAATGCTATGCTTTATGAGCCAATTTTAAGTAACTCATTGACGTGATCAAA